TGTTCAGCAGTGGACTTTTATAGAGTGTAATGGATCGATGTATAGAAGATAATCTACCAGAAGCACATGACGCACTGAGAGGTGAAATTTTCAAAACAATAGTAACATCGCATGTATTGCAAATATCCCCCCTATGAGGCAATCTATCGGGGAGGCCTATGTTCAGTAGTGGACTTTAATAGACTGTAACTGCAACGGTAACGATGACAATATAATCTGTGTTTCTCGCGACTGTATTCGGAAGCAGTCGCCGTTTCCACGTTGTTACGTGGTAGAGCCATGTTGCAGCTATATTATTAATAGTATAGTTGTAGCACGAATGGGTCGGCTCGACCGGGGAAGGACCACACTCTCACAGAATACCAGCGTAAAATGACAGCTTGACACTGCTGAGTTTCGTATGGTGAGTGTAGAGAACCGGAGACCCTTTTTACTGGATACGAGGCATTCCATCTTAATTCTCACGAGTGACGACGCATCTGCATTTTGATTCTTTATTGAGGATAAATGTAGATGTCTATGGGTCATAGCAATCACTTACCATCAAATGGACTGTGTGCTCGTTTGTCACCCTGTCCTATTAAATAAATAAAAAAAAATAAAAAATAAATCCAAAATCGAACAGGGGAACAAACCAGAGAGAATCGGTTAACCGGCTACAATCTATAAAAATATGTATGATTAAAAACGTTACTTTTAAATTAGACTATTCTGTGTCACACAAACACTTGTTTTGTGCGGGATTCAAACACAGAGTAAAGAGTAAGGACCAGAGGGGAAGCTTCTTAACAACATCGAAAATGTATACCTATTCTGATAGGGTTGTCACAGGATGCATGTGAAAAATTTAAGGAAAAATAAAAATATTGTATAGCATAAGACAACATGTGCATTAATTACAACTTATATTAATGTAAAAACATATCTATTAATTGTTCGAAATCAAGAGCTGTTTCGTATCGATTTATTTTAAACAATATGGAAAAAATTAAAATATTATATAGTGTATAAAACAACATGCGTATTAATTATTACTAATGTTACATAATGTAACAATATAATATCTATTAATTGTTCGAAATCAAGAACCGTTTCGTATCGATTAATTTTAAACAATATATTATATTATTTACCTATAGAAATTCATAATAACTTAATTCTTAATTATTTTAATTAAAATAGGGTGAGTGGGGGGAAGATCGAATGGTTTTTTGATGAGATGAGCAGTGTTGTGTTTGACGTCTTGTAGAACAGTACATATTAACTTAAGCTAAAATTATATCTATAGTGAATAAAGTACAAAGAGCATATTTTTATGTCATATCGATAAATCCCTGTTATATTTATTCGAAAGCAAAAAAGAAATTAATTACAATGTCTTTATCGAAAGAAAAAAACAGGGGGAAAGATGAAAGGGTGGTGGGGTAAGATCGAATTAGTTTCTAAAATCGTTCAAATTAATGTCAGACGATATTGACGGTCTACGATTGATGATGATTTTAATTGTAATTTAATTTTAATTGTCCTGATACTTCAGAACTGTCTATAATATCAAAATACCTTCAAATAACACAGATAACACAAATTATTTCTTTTTTATATTTCAATCTTGACCCGCCGGGGAAAGGTTGAACTAGAGGTTCTCAAACTTTTCACTTTACTTGGATAAGATTATACAGAAAATGAAAGATATCAATCATATATTTTTTTAAAATTCACAGCGTAGATATTCCCTTATAACACAAAACCTTTCCCTCAAAACGACAAGTGCCAACTTAGGTACGTAACAAAATGGCGGTCTTATGAATGTTGCCTGCATTGGATAAATTACACAAAATCTGTTTTTACTGATGCCTTTTTGTCTTACCCCGTTTTTCATCTTCCCCCCACTCACCCTACTTAAAATCTAATTATTTAATAATTGCAAAAACACTTAATAAATAATTGATGTATAAAATTTCGTAATATTGTTGGTCTATTTATTTAAATGCGCACTACTAACAGCCCTTTCATGAATACTCTGACTGAGCAGACGCAAACCGGTTTGTACCCCGACGTAGCGTCGGTGAACCTGTCGGTGAGAGCTCACGCACACATCGCTGCGCTTTTTTACGTGGTAGAGCCATGCTGCAGCTATATTAGTAGTATAGTCGTAGCACGAATGGGTCGGCTCGACCGGGGAAGTACCACGCTCTCACAGAAAGCCAGCGTAAAATAGCAGCTTAACGCTGCTGTGTTTTGTATGGTGAGTGTAGAGAACCGGAGACATTTTTTACTGGCAAAGAGGCATTCCATATTAGTCCTCACGGGCGACAACGCATCTGCATCTTGAGTCTTTATTGAGGATGGATGTAGATGTCTATGGGTCACAATAACCACTTACCATCAGGTGAACTGTGTGCTCGTTTGTCACCCTATCCTATAAAAAAAATGTATGCGTGTATTCGCAGCGAGCCGTTTGTATGTAGCTTCCCCTCTGGTCTGTTTCTTTACTCATGTGATTCAAACCCGCGGTTTTGCAGCGCCGCAACTAAACGCTAAACCACTGCACTACCAAGACATCATTGGTGCCCGCGAAATATAAAGTATAGGAAATGACTAGACGAACATTTTGTTAGCACGATAGTCTTTAGTTTGTTGTACAATCCAGTCGAGACAGCCTTGAGCTGTTGAGACAAACTCGTCTAAAATAATCCCCTGCTATTTGGACGTAAGGATAGTTGCCACTTGAAGCGATACTCGTACATTCCGGTCGCTCCGAGACTCATTAGCTAAAGAACGTGCTATGTATGTACTAACGGACTTCTTACCTGAACATTAATGTTAAGGTCGTTTCAAAATTATATACATAGTTGAAAATATGGAAAATTTAAATTAATAACTTTTTATAAAAGCTTGAGAAAAATTTACTTCGCAAATATCCGCGTTATAAAATAAAATGATGTGTCTTACCTAGTATGAAGAGCACCTCCCGCCCTCCCTCAGTTGCGTGGATCAAGGGCGGGAGGTGCTCTTCATACTAGGTAAGACACATCATTTTATTTTATAACGCGGATATTTGCGAAGTAAATTTTTGTAAAGCTTTTCTATAATGGATTTCCGCAAAGTAACGCCTCATTCTATTAATTAAAATAACTTTTTAACTAATAATAGAATATATGCTTTATGTTTGTAATATTTAGTTTCTATCAAACTGTTCAAACGGTTTCCACGACGGTTTTTGGAGTAAAAACAATTGAATTCTGATTTCTGGATAATTAATTATGTATTTATAAATATATTTATGTATCATTTACGGTATAAGATGAACCTAAAAGTAAGTGATCAATTATACGCGAAATACCTACGGTATATGTAAACTATATTGTAAAAGCTTTTTCATTTGCCTAAAGCCTGTTTTAGCCACTAATCTTCCACTGAATAACATAGATATGTAATACTTTGCTTTTTTTATAGAATATGACAAACAAGCACACTGTCCCAGCTGAAGCTAAGTGGATGATGTGACCTATAGACACATATATTTATGCTCGATTAAAAGCCAAAATGTATATGCGTTGTCATCCCCTGAGGACTAAGATGCCTCATTACCAGCAAAAAGAGTCTTCAGTTCTTTTGACTCATCCTACGAAACGCACCAGCATTAAGCTGCTATTTTATTTTTGGCGCGCGTGTCGTACCAACAAATTTAATTTACACTTATACATCATTCAACTTGAATGAATTTATTGTCATTTCTAATTAAACAATAATAATCCTTCCAAATTTAAAACGATATTTCGATGATTATTTTTTCCGTGGCAATAACGCGCCGGGTACCAGCTAGTGTTGAATATATTTCTACTCCTCAGCATTATGTTGCTATTTTACGCAGGTATTCTGTAAGAGTGTGTCTCTTCCCCGTTCGTGCTGTAACTATAATATAGCTGCAGCGTGGCTCTACCACGTCGATATTTATTGTTTTTTTTCCTTTTTGTCTTAAAAAACCCATTATTCTGAAAATCATAGCGCTTAGTCCTTGAGCTAACAAGACTTTAAACAATAAGATTAGGACTACACATCCAAGTCGCATTCGATAAAATGTATAAAACAACCGCATCCGTTGACGTACTTATACATGCAAAGTTTAACGACGCTGTTGTATGTGTGAGTGAATAAAAATATAACACGCACATATATGCCCCTCCGCTTAGAGCAAACGAAGTGTCTATTGAAATTCGGGCGGGGTGAGATAAATTGAATCGGTGGGAAATACTCTGTACGTATACTATTTACACAGATTACTTAATAGTTTACAAAACTATTATGGGCCTACAATTTTACAACTTGGTGGAGCCACGCTGCAACTATATTATGATTATAGCGAACGGTTCGGTACGACCGGGGGACGACCACGCTGTCACAGAATACCTGAGTAAAATAGCTGCGCAATGCAGCAGTTTCGTATGGTGAGTGTAGAAAACTGGAGATCCTTTTCACTCGATACGAGGCATACCATCTTAGTCCTCAAGGTTGACAATGCATCTGCATTTTAAATTGTAATGTAGGGTAAATAGAGATGACTATGGACCACAGTATCTACTTACTATCGGCTGGATTGTGTGCTCGTTTGTTACTCTTATTCTGTATAAAAAAGACTATCACTACACATCTAGATAATTAAAGTTGGTAAAAATTACCTCGCATACTACTCGCGTATTACTCTGTCTACTACACCTGAAGATACCACGTGTAGAGACGAAAAACTTGTCGTATTGTCGTCAGTGATGGGTCTTTCCTAGTGCAGTGGTGTTGGGAGTAGTGGTGCTGAGATTAATGGTGACGGGGATAATGCACGCAATTGAGGGAGGGCTGGAGGTGCTTTTCATACTAGGTAAGACACATCATTTTATTTTATCGAGCGAAGTACGCGAGGTAATTTTTACCAACTTTAATATAATGGATTTCCGCAAAGTAACGCCTATTAATATCTAGATAAGTTATGTAAAACTCTCTCACAGGACTTCTGCAGCTATTACCTGATCCGTTTCAATAAGCAGCCACAGTTCTGCCGCAAGGTGGAGGAGCCCCGGCCTCTGCGACGCCCCGTCACCAGAACCACGCGGCCGCCGGTCATGGAACCGGAAAAGGAAGCGGAGCCCGATCTTCCTTCCACCTTCACTGTAACAAAACTTTTGACGGTATTTTTTATTCTGTTCTTAATTTGTAATTTTTTTTTGTAGAATAAGGATGTCAAACGTACACCGAGTCCACCTAATGGTAAGTGGATGTTGTACTAATAGACAGTTATCCTCTTTTCAATTAAGAGTCAGAGACTAAGGTGGAATGCCTCGTTTCCAGTAAAAAGGGTCTCCAATTCTCTACACTCACCATACGAAACAAAGCAGCATTAAACTGCTCTTTTACTTATTCTGCGGTACTTTATATGGTATTCTGTGAGAGCGTGATTCATCCCATACGTACTACAACCATAATATAGCTGCAGCGTGGCTCTACCTTGAAACGAAATTTGATTGTATTTTTATTGAATGACAAAGCTGTTCTATATTTTTATACGTGGTAGAGCCATGGTGCAGCTATATTATGGTTGTAGCACGAATGGGTCGGCTCAACCGGGGAAGGACTCATCATCATCATCATCATTACAGCCCTCCACAAGTACACTGCTGAACATAGGCCTCCCCCAAAGAATGCCACAAAGCACGGTCCTGAGCCACCTGCATCCATCGACTTCCTGCATGTCTTACCAGGTCGTCACTCCATCTCGTGGGGGGACGCCCTACACTTCGCCTACCGGTACGAGGCCGCCACTCGAGAATCTTTCTTCCCAATCGGTTGTCGGTTCTTCGAGCTACATGGCCGGCCCACTGCCACTTCAGCTTACTAATCCGTTGGGCTATGTCGGTTACTGTGGTTCTACTACGGATATCCTCATTCCTAAGTTTATCACGCAGAGAAACTCCGAGCATAGCCCTCTCCATAGCTCGCTGAGCGACCTTGAGCTTTCTCATACGGCCAGCAGTGAAGGACCACGTCTCAGTTCCGTAAGTCATCACTGGCAACACGCACTGGTTGTACAATTTGGTTTTAAGGTTTTGAGGTATGTCTGACGAGAAGATGTGTCGTAGCTTCCCGAACGCTGCCCAGCCGAGTTGAATCCGTCGATTGACCTCTCGGTCGAAGTTGGACTTACCTAGTCGGACTATTTGTCCCAGGTAAACATACTCGTCAACAACTTCGAGCTTAGTGTTCCCAACAACTACCGGCATAGGTGTGACATGGACATTAAACATGATCTTTGTTTTGTTCATGTTCATCTTAAGACCTATCCGTTGGGAAACACTATTGAGGTCATTGAGCATAGTGCTTAGGTCCTCCAGCGATTCTGCCATAAGGACTATATCGTCGGCAAATCAAAGGTGAGTGATGTACTCGCCATTGATGTTGATACCGTATCCTTTCCAGTCCAGAAGCTTGAAAACGTCTTCCAATGCAGCGGTGAAAAGTTTCGGGGATATGACGTCACCCTGTCTTACACCTCTCTGCAATTGGATAGGTTTCGTACTCTGGTTCTGTACTCGGATAGCCATCGTAGCCCTACTGTACAAGCACTTCAACACTTCGATATACCGACAGTCAACTTGGCACCGCTGAAGGGACTGCAGCACCGCCCAAATTTCGACGGAATCAAAGGCTTTCTCATAGTCCACATACGCCAGACATAGTGGCAAATTGTACTCTTCGGACTTCTGTACAATTTGCCGAAGGGTATATATGTGGTCTATGGTGCTAAAGCCCTTTCGGAAACCGTCTTGTTCGGGAGGCTGGAAGTCGTCAATTCTGCGCGCGAGACGATTCGTAATGACTCTCGAAAACAGCACGTAGACGCGGCTCAGAAGGGAAATCGGTCTGTAGTTCTTCAAGAGAGCGTTGTCACCTTTCTTGAAGAACAAGACCTCCGCACTTCTGCTCCACGCCTCAGGTGTAATGCCACCATGGAGGACGGAGTTAAAGAGCTTCTGAAGGACTTCAATTACCGGTTTCCCACCCGCTTTCAGAAGCTCCACTGTAATTCCATCCTCGCCTGGGGCCTTACCGTTTTTAAGGTGCTGGAGAGCCATTCTAATCTCGCTCAGACTGACGTCCGGGATATCTTCGGAATAGTGTCGGATGAGACTCGCTCTTGGATCGTTACTCACACTTGCGTGTGGCTCCAACGATGACGTGTACAACTGCCCATAGAACCTCTCAATCTCACTCAAAATCTCAGGTGTCCCGGAAACGATGCTGCCACATTCTGTCTTCAGCTTTGACAGTCGGCTCTTTCTGGCAGACAGATCTCTGGCAAAGACTTTGGAGCCTTGGTTCCGCTCGATCGCTTCTTCAATACGAGCTGTATTGAAGTTGCGTAAGTCCCGCCGCATGCATTTGGAGATCTGTCTGTTCAGATGCCTGTATGCTGTCAAGTCTGTTGAAGAATGTAGCTTCATCTCCCGTCTAACAGCCATGAGATTAAGAGTGTGATCGGAGAGTTTTTGTGTTCTTCTGCGGCGGGTCTTGCAGAACTTAGCTCCGACCGCATGGACAGTTTCCACGAGCTTGTCATTCATATCGTCCACTTCATTGCAGTCTTCTAGGCACTGAAAACGGTTTTGTAACTCGAGCTGAAAGGTTTCGGGACTTTGGAACAAAGCACGAGGGGGACGGAGCGTTGACTTCATTAGACGAGACCTCTCCAACTTTATGTTTAGGTTCAGTGCGCCTCTAACCATTCGGTGATCGCTACCAGTTTTCACCCTCGCGATCACGGAAACATCACTGAACAGTTGTCGTCTGGTCGTCATAATGAAGTCAATCTCATTTTTTGTCGAACCATCGGGGCTCGACAAAAAATGAGATCTCTCTCTCTCTCACAGAATACTAGCGTCAAATAGCAGCTTTACGCTGCTGTGTTTCGTATGGGGAGTAGAGAACCGGAGACCCTTTTTACTGGAAACGAGGCATTCCATCTTAGTCCTCACGGGTGACAACGCATCTGCATTTTCATTCATAATCGAAGATAGATGTAGATGTCTATGGGCCACAGCAACCAGTTACCATCAAGTGGACTGTATGCTCGTTTGTCACTCTTCTCCTATAAAAAAAAATGTGGTGACAAGAGAATCTTATCACCCATTTCGACCCGTGGGTGTAGATAAAGGCGACTATAGTAATTAGTAACTTTATCCATTTAGGGGGTATAGCAGAAGTGTGGTGGTCTTGTTCTTCAAGAAAGGCGATAACGCTCTCTTGAAGAACTACAGACCGATTTCCCTTCTCAGCCGCGTCTACGTGCTGTTTTCGAGTGTCATTACGAATCGTATCGCGCGCAGACTTGACGACTTCCAGCCTCCCGAACAAGCCGGTTTCCGAAAAGGCTTTAGCACCATTTACCACATACATACCCTTCGGCAAATTGTACAGAAGTCCGAGGAGTACAATTTGTCACTATGTCTGGCGTATGTGGACTATGAGAAAGCCTTTGATTCCGTCGAAATTTGGGCGGTGCTGCAGTCCCTTCAGTGGGGCCAAGTTGACTGTCGGTATATCGAAGTGCTGAAGTGCTTGTACAGTAGGGCTACGATGGCTATCCGAGTACAGAACCAGAGTACGAAACCTATCCAATTGCAGAGAGGTGTAAGACAGGGTGACGTCATATCCCCGAAACTTCACCGCTTCATTGGAAGACGTTTTCAAGCTTCTGGACTGGAAAGGATACGATATCAACATCAATAGCGAGTACATCACTCACCTTCGATTTGCCGACGATATAGTCCTTATGGCAGAATCGCTGGAGGACCTAAGCACGATGCTCAATGACCTCAATAGTGCTTCCCAACGGATAGGTCTTAAGATGAACATGGACAAAACAAAGATCATGTTTAATGTCCATGTCACACATATGCCGGCAGTTGTTGGGAACACTAAGCTCGAAGTTGTTGACGAGTATGTTTACCTGGGACAAATAGTCCGACTAGGTAAGTCCAACTTCGACCGAGAGGTCAATCGACGGATTCAACTCGGTTGGACAGCGTTCGGGAAATTACGGCACATCTTCTCGTCAGGTATACCTCAAAACTTGAAAACGAGACTGTACAACCAGTGCGTGTTGCCAGTGATGACATACGGAACTGAGACGTGGTCCTCCACTGCTGGCGGGATGAGGAAGCTCAAGGTCGCTCAGCGAGCTATGGAGAGGGCTATGCTCGGAGTTTCTCTGCGTGATAAACTCAGAAATGAGGATATCCGCATTAGAACCAGAGTGACCGACATAGCCCAACAGATTAGTGGGCTGAAGTGGCAATGGGCCGGCCATATAGCTCGAAGAATCGACAACCGATGGGGAAGAAAGGTTCTCGAGTGGCAGCCTCGTACCGACAGGCGAAGTGTTGGGGCGTCCCCCCACTAGATGGAGTGACGACCTGGTAAGATATGCAGGAAGTCGATGGATGCAGGTGGCTCAGGACTGTGCTTTGTGACATTCCTTGGGGGAGGCCTATGTTCAGCAGTGGACTTGTGAAGGGCTGTAATGATGATGATGATGATGATGATGATGATAGGAATATCAGAATGTCTCATAACTTGCAATAAATGGTGGTATAAATATCTTTCTTACGTCTTTTTAACGGTACCTACGTCAGACACAGGCAACGGGAAGCAGGGAATAGCAAGACATTTGGATCTGGAATAGCAAATCCGCCTGGGATCATGATTAGGTAAATGCTTCCTAAAACGGGATATGCACATGCCCAGCAGTGAGCTTATAAGGACTGATTTATTTATTTAATCGTTGAACATTGTGAACACCATAACATTCTTTAGTGTAATTAATATTTAAAAACTATTGGTAAATCCAATTGAGCATGCCTTCGCATTAAAAAATTACGTATAGCATGATTAATACGGATTTTTTAAAGTAGTTTAAATACACACAAATTTTCACTAATAACCTTATTATACTTCCAATTTTCCGATAATTTTATGTCAAACTTCAATTTGAAAAAGTTTGGAAAATCCAAAGTGTACGACTCATAATGCTCATATGATCATCATATCATCATTCATGTCACTCCAAAAAGTCCAAGACGTATTCAAGTATAAATATTACATCCTACTTATTTTTGGTACGTACTCCTATTATTTATTCTGTGCTTTTAAAATATTGTAATAAAAATGTCTGATTATTATAATAATCAAGTATGTATGAAATTTGTTTTTCGAATATTTTGTATTTATTTGTACACCGATCTTTTTGAGCAGCTGCAAACAACCGATACAGTATCCACTCACTACGGCGGTTGACGCCGAACCACAGAATACTTTACTTCTAGCGGACGCCGAACTAAGCAAGGAGGCACAGGCAGTCTCTATTTACTGAATTAATTTTAACACAAGGCTACCAAATCAACGAAAACTTCGCCATTTTGGAGCCGAAAAAAATTAATTATAGCTAAACAAAACAAAATTACACTGCAATTTACATTCAGTGGCTTCCCACATGATAGATGAAGAGATTAAAAAATAGATTGAGTTAAACAATTGATATTTTCAAAAGTTAGAGTGTTTACAAGTCTTGCGGGCTTAATAAATCCACACCATAAGCTACTAAAACCCCTTTTTTATGTAAAAATAACAATTAATCGATTTAAAAAAAAATATTAATAAGTTCAACAATCATTTATCTTTCTGACAATGTGCTTTTTATATCATTTATATGTATACGATTCTAGATACGATTTCATGCGACAAAATGTTGGAATCATGATTTTTAGGCGCTAGTAGAACATACCTATGCGCTTTGCGCTCGGCATGCAATAAAAGCTTGATAAGCATCATCTCAATTACAGGCAAACAATGCAATAACACTACATGAACAATGCACAACAACGCTACACTGATGGCGATGAAGAAACAGAAACAGAAACTTTTTTTATTCAATATAGATTACAAATAATACTTATTGATATAATAAGTCACTCTTTTGTTTAATTACCACTGGTTCGAAAAAAAAACCTCTGTCCTGGGAAGAACCAGTAAGAAATCCAGCGGGACTTTTTTTAAAATAACAGCTTACAATCATGTATGTTACACAATTAACAACACAAAACAAATTAGAAATAGCTTGGTAGCGATCACCTCATTGCTGGGGGTTATTATCATCCATAAGTTCCTTAATATTATAATAACCCTTTTTTATACAAATTTAGTTTAATAAAGTTTTTGAATTTTGAGCAGGTCAAATTATGTATATTTTCTGGAATTTTTTTGTAAAAGCGTATACATCGCCCCAAGAATGAATTACTGACTCGGTGGAGTCACTTAACTGGTACTACTAGCTTGTGTCTGTTCCTAGTATTTACAGAATGAATATTACTTATTTTTGTAAAACTACTTTCATTTTTGTGTACGTACATTACATTTTCATAAATGTATTGAGAGGCCAAAATTAATATATTAATTTCCTTAAATTTTTGTCGCAGCAGCTCTTTAGGCTTTAAATCATAAATTGTTCTTATGGCCCTCTTCTGTAAAACAAATATAATTTCAGTGTCAGCTGCGTGTCCCCATAGCAAAATACCATACGACATTATGCTATGGAAATAGCTAAAGTAAACTATGGTGATTTTAATCGTTAGGTGAGGATACAGTATCTAAATTACGGTGACTGTCACATTTAATAATAATAAAACTTACCACTTTATTGCTACATTAAAATAAAACACATTTAGATAACTGATAACTTGATGCTAATAAGATGTAGGCAATTGGAGGTGACTCCAGTTTTGCTCACTTAATTCTTCCATCCCCTTTCTACCATTGGACTACCAGACGCTTTGTTGTCGATATTGCATGCACGTATTTTTACTGCAATATTTGTTTCACATAGGATTCGGATCTAGGATAAGAAACAGAAACCTGGTACTCTTCTCGTATATGGAGTGTATTTGTACCATTCTATTTCAGGATATTCCAGCAGAAAATCTAGATAATGCAATTACAGCGATAGAGAAAAAGCCATTGGCTGGATTCATGGCCACCATGACACCTGATAAGAGACAACTTGTGGAGATATTGTACCAGGACATCATAAGACCATCGGGAGTGCGTTGGGACGACATCAAAGGCTTGGAGGCGGCCAAGAGTATACTTATGGAATCGGTTGTGTATCCAGTAAGGTAAGTTACTTTTTGCTTTTGTATGATTAAGGCGACACCGCGAAAAAATGCACCTCCTTTCATGTAATAGTATAGGAGTATGACACGACTAACGAAACTGGAATTTTGATATAGGTAAATTCATGTCTTTATCTTGAGTTTGCTTGCTCAAAAACACGATTGTAAAATTTTGACTCGATCATAATAATTTGCGAAAACACCTCTAAAAAATCACTATAGTTGAAATTAGAACGAAATTACTTAATCTATGTGCTTGGAAACCACTCGAATACATTCATAACATCAATATTCGTAATTTACTTGATCATTATTTTGATTACTAAAATCAATAATTTTTTTTAAATATTTTAAGATTCTACACGATTTCTAAGCGGTTTTAATCGTCGCGGGCGCTACGCAATTTTAGACCTTATGACGGCGTTTTTGAAGTTTTTATAGAAATTATGTTTTACTTTGGTTAGTCCGGCGATAGCCCACTTCAACGGTTTTCGATGTGTCGCCTTAAGTGACATTTAAGGCGAATATTTCCGACGATAAAAAGTATTTAGCACTCCCTTCTCTGCTGCATACATATTTGTCCAGCGCGAAGTAAGCGTGCAACATTAGGTGGACAAAAAGTTATATTATCTCAAAAGTTTTTGTTTATTATCAGGTAATCTGCTTGGGATTCTATAATTAATAAAATTAAATCCAAACCCAAGCATACCACTGCACGAATTTGAAATACAGTAAGCTCGTTCTGCGTAGATCGGACCAAAAATTAATATTCAAAAACTGAAGTTAGCCGGGCTAACTATGACATTGGGATTTGGGACGTCGAACACCTCAGTCTCCCTCGTGACCATGGGAGCTGTAAAGCACCCGAAACGTCGGGAATTAAAAAGATAAAATTAAACGCGATAAAATCCGTAAAATTAGTTTCACTCCACTCCACTTAACATCAGGTGGACTGTGTGGCCTGGCCTTAAGTTTTTATTTAACTATCGAGACAGAACGATATTTTCAAATATCATCGTTATCTACTCGTATAATGGTCCACTGATGTACATAGGTTTCAGCCGCAATACAGAAAGTGCCGAGCGGCGGTGGTAAAATAATCCATCTACCCATTTCGTTCCATGGGTATCATAAGAGGCAACAATTGAATATATCAGTAAGATCTCATGGCCTCCGAGAGATGGCGTAATTCTTAATTAATTAATTAACGCCACACGTATAATACGCTGACCGGCAAAGAGACACGCCGTAAGGTGCAGAATGTCTGATTCACGAATGCAGGCGTCTGCGAAAGAGCTCCATGTCCAGCTTTGGACTTTTATGGGCCGTCTAAAGAGGAGAAAGAAGAAGAGAGGGCTTTCCATATTTTTCTTACGTGTTATATTGATTGACGATTGCATCATCAAACATCTCACCGTGCTACTTCCCGTGGCTGTTCTATATGTAGCCGGGAAATCGTATATTATGATCATAATCTGCCCCGACAGGTTATTAAATTGTGATATTTTATGATATGCCTAGATAACTTCAGATGAGATCGGACGGACAAAAAAAGTCGTTCGAATATTTGGTTGTTGTAGTCTTGAATAATGTCCAATGCTTTATCAAATAAGCCGACAATTTTTAATTACAGTTTAACTTTTATTTGTTTTATAACGGTTTACGTTCATGAAACTTTAATGTATTTATAGTATAAGGGCTACAAACGAGCACACAGTCCACCTGATGGTAAGTGGTTGCTGTGGCCCATAGACATCTACATTTATCCTCGTTTGAGTATCAAAATGCAGATGCAGATTGTCAGCCTTGAGGACTAAGATGGAACGCCTCGTTTCCAGTAAAACGGTACAACAGTAGTAAAAGTAGCGTTCAGCAGCTAATTCACGCTGGTATTCTGTGAGAGCGTGGTTCTTCTCCGGTCAAGCCGTCCCATTCGTGCTACAACTATACTACTAATATACCTGTAGCATGAGGCATGCTACCATATTAGATAACGAAAGATTTTGACACATATCCCCGATTCCTATTTAAGATACGTTTCGTTCACCGTAATAATCCATATTATTACATACGACGTGCATGTAAAAACAGTATAATATATCACCAACTGTTCATTCAGAAACTTACGATGACTTAAAAAAAAAAACGGTTTATAAATATTCATATCTGGTATTTTGTTTTATAAAATGGGGTTTTCATGCAATCAATTTACCCCAAAACGGCTCGTAAAATAAAACGGACGAAACGAAACGAACCACAAAGTAAAGTGTTTTTTAAGGCACCCAGAATTGTTCACGGGTCTACTGGAACCATGGCGCGGTGTACTCCTCCACGGGCCTCCGGGCACGGGCAAGACGATGCTGGCGCGCGCGGTCGCCACCGAGAGCCGCTGCACCTTCTTCAACGTACCCTGCAGCACCCTCGTCAACAAGTGGAGAGGCGAGTCGGAGAAGATTGTAAAGGTGCGGACTGGATGCTCGATGTTTACGTGGTGGAGCCATTATTTATTTATTGGAACGAAGTTCCTTATCGGACGGTAAGGGTTTGGCGGATGGGAACTAGACGACAAAAGTGTAAGATTTTTTCGTCACCACCCCTTGTGTCATAGTGTAGACGACCTTGGCGGCGAAATAAGGAAGTGAGATGGAATAATATCCATCTCCCTCGCACTTTTTCTTATCTTGCCATGAACGAAATATTATTTTATTTCAAATGACGTTTCTTTTTAATAGACGCTACTAATTCATTTATTGGTATTAGTTAATCAATAATATAATAGCTACGTTTATCAATAATAATATACTACGCATGGAACTTCGTTCCAACCGAGTGTTCCACGACACTTACGCATTTTTTTATTTTAAAGAATAAGAGTGACAAACGGGCACACAGTCCATCTGAAGGTAAGTGGTAAGTAGAGGTCTGTACGGGTCTGTGAGTACTCTTTACTGGAAACGAGGCATTCTATCTTAGTCCTCAAGGGTGACAACGCATCTGCATTATCACCTCTGTCACAATAATGATCTAACTTATATAGATTATATGTCACATTATATTATATACATTTGTATTGCATTTATACCTTTCATGTGATTACATATAAATATATATATTTTGTAAGTTTGCAAGTTTTTCACAGATCATATCCGCCATATTTATTTTATGATATTTTACCCGCGCTATTATACAAACCGATCTTACTAAGCGATCAAAGTACCTATTATATACTAGTTTCTAGGAGTAAAATAATTATACCCCGTACCTATCAACCACGTGTGATGAAGATGAAGAAACAGAAGATGGTCACCAGCATCTGTTTTTTTATAGGAGAGGTGGCAAACGAGCATGCGGCTCACCTGATGGTAAGTGACTACCGCCGCCCATGAACAACCCCAACACCAGGGGAATTGCAGATGCGTTGCCGGCCTTTTAAAAAGGAGTAGGGTCTCTTCTTGAAGGTCCCTAAATCGTATATATCACCCATCATCCTGATATTAGCGCAAAATACTAAAAAATCGTTTAAAAAAGCCTACCCTCACTTTTTTTATTCTTTATCGTTCTTTGATGTCGGCTTTTGTATTTTATTATAAGTTTAATTTTTAACCCTTTTGAGTGGACCAAGGAATATTAGGAGCTCAATAACAACTGCATTAGTATCGTCTAACCACATTAAGGCCTTCATCCCCTGTTTCCCATCATTAGGAGTTTTATTCCAAATTTATATGGGACCTTAAGCACACCTAAAAATTTGGTTCACATTTAGCAAAGATAATAGCATAATGTACATTAGATACAATAAACTCGAAATGAGAACCTAATTTTTTTTAAGTCTGCTAAGAATTAGCTTCAATTACAAAAAGAAATTTCTCCCCAGGTTCTTTTCGAAATGGCCTTCTACTACTCACCATCGATCATCTTCATAGACGAAGTGGAGACCATAGCATCGGAGCGATCTTCCGTTGGAGAACACGAAGCTTCCAGAAGGCTGAAGTCACAACTCTTGACAGAGCTAGACGGAGTACGAGAGAGAGAAGGATTGGTGTTCTTACTTGCTAACTCCAATATGCCTTGGTAAGTGTCACCCAGTCGTCCTTTACCGACTATTTAAAGACCACTGTTGAACATAGGCCTCTCATATAGATAGCCTCGTATATGAGAGGGGGGATATTTGCCATAGTTGCGACGCTTGGCAGGCAGGTTGACAGCCGCAGTTTTTATTAATTTAAGGAAGTTGCTGTTTCTCATCTTTTTTTATAAAAAAAGGTGATAGGCGAATTAATTAAATCACGCGTAATCATCTGTCGACACCAATGAAACTGTAATTGCAATTTTAAGTGCTGATTTACCACGTGCTCGATATTCCACGCATTAGAACCAAAAGGTTTGCTTCGTCTTTTGTAATGCGTACAGCATAGGAATGGAATAATTTGCCGGCATCTATCTTTCCGTCCGAATACAATCTGGGCGTCTTCAAGGCAAGAGCGAATAGGCTTTTGTAACGTTAAGACAGTGCGATTTACCATATAGGGCTGCATCACCACTTACCACCAGGTGGGATTGTGGTCAAGCACTGGCTTATAATAAATAAAAAAATTAAATACATCGTGAGGAAACCGGCATGCCTGAGAAATAAGAAAAAAATATTTCGAGGTCATGTGAAGTTCGCTTACACGCATAAAGGCGGACATTTCTTTGTTCTAAATCAGATAAGAGGGGAGGCCTGTGCCCAGCAGTGGGATGTATATAGGCTCTTGCTTTACTTTTACGCGTAATCATAAATTTAAAAAAATAAAAATCGAATTTAATTTATTTGACATTTGATTTTTTTAATTTAATGAGCCTATGCTGATAAAGCGCACTTAGCTTACAAAGGCGTTTGGGTATTAGTGTAACAAAATCCTATTCACTTTTGCCTCGAAGAAACCTTCATTCTAATCGCTTTGACATACAGTAAAAGTAAGTTATTTACGTGGTAGAGCCATGCTGCAGTTATATTAATAGTATAGTTGTAGCACGAATGGGTCAGCTCGACCGGGGAAGGACCACGCTCTCACAGAATACCAGCGTAAAATAGCAGTTTAATGCTGCTGTGTTTCGTATGGTGAGTGTAGAGAACCGGAGACCCTTTTTACTGGAAACGAGGCATTCTATCTTAGTCTTCACGGCTGACAATGCACCTGCATTTTAATTCGCAAACGATGATAGATGTAGATGTCTATGGGCCACAGCAAAAAAAACTCCTTTGTAGTGCGCATTACATTCAACGTACAATTATCATTAGACTCGGCAAATAATTTCAGTAAATGTTATCCCAGCAATCGCATCAGAAAATCTCCAAAAACATATTGCTGTGATAGAAAAATGGCTGAAGATATGGAGAATAAAGACTAATCAAAGCAAATCGGTTCACGTCACTTTCACTCTAAGCTGTAAGAAAAGGTGACTGTCCACCAATCACACTGAACGGAGAACAAAGCCCACACGATGGTGCCGCGAAATACCTAGCCATGCATCTGGAGCAAAAGAAAAGCCCTGGACGCAGAACTTCGACCTATGTATTGGCTAATTGGCAAAAAGTCTCAGCTAACTAAACCTAAACTAAAAAAATAGCAGTTTAGAAACCTTAACACCAACGCGCATGTGGCGAATGAAATAAATGAGTGGACACTGTGTATAATAGATGAGACATGGAGCACACCAAAAAATAAATCAGTGGACATTGGTTTACAATCTGCGAAGATGTCGCGTAACATACATACAAAAAAGGAACATACACTGGAATTGAGAACCTTCTTTTTATAGTCGCTTAAAAAGACAATTAACTAACAGTTTTATCAGAAGTGGCTAATTACGCACATGTACATGTGTTGCATATTTTGCTTATAAAATAACTAACGAAAATCAATTAAGTACACATAGTAGGTTGATAATCGTAATATTTTAATTGGCAAAAGGTCTTAGCTAACTAAAACTAAACTAAAAATAACAGTTTAAACAACTATTTTGAAGACAGTATGGACATATTACGGTATAGAACTCTGGAGAATAGCAAGTAATAGCAACATCCAATCCCGTAAAGGTTTCAGACTAAAGCTATTAGATCTATGTTCAACATTCCAAAATGTATCCACAATAAATATATTCTGCACGACTTGAGACTCAACACTGTGGAACAAGAAATCGCTGCTCGAAGCTTAAACTACCAAAAAAAAAATTAACTTTACATGGCTGATAAATTAACAGGTTCTGGAAGTACCATTTACACAAGACTGAGAAGGAATAGCGTTCCGAATCTCACGCGTTTCGTGAGATTTGGAACGCTATTCACCAAAGAATACTGAGAGTGGTCAATGGACGACTCCTCCTGCTTAAAGAAACAAAATAGACATAGCTCAAACAAAGAAACAGCTTAATGTCTACGGCAGATTGTTGTGTAAGCGGGATACAAACAAAAAACAAAAGATTCGGAAAATCAAAACTAAACATATTCAAAAAAGATTTTAAATGTCGCATCGCTGGGCAGATGCCTTCTCTCCTTTCTGAGAGGTTTATAAAATAAGCTGTCCGCCGTACTGTTCCACTGCGTGTTGGCAAACTTTACGAGTCATGGGAGGGTCTCCTTCTTCATTTTTTTTAAATATTGTTACGAGCTTGGGGTTCGAGACAATTAAAAACTGCCGAGTGAATTACCAAAATTGACACTTTAATTACAGATCACTAATTACAATTTAAAACCACACTAATAATAAACACAATTGTACTACTGATCACTTTAGTTGCAGTTATATCACTTCGAAGTATTCGCTTATATCGCCAATTCAATACTGCCTCGGTCGTGGTCTATACCGGCGTTATATAGGGCCTCAGATAGTTTCCAGAACCTTCTACTGTAGCGACATCTAGAATGTTCGAGTACTATCGGTCCCGAAATTTCTGGAAGGATCTTGACTCTCCTAGTTCTGCTACTCGACACTAGAGGGCGCTAGTGTAACTAGTGTTGCCATGTACAAGACATTAATAGTGGCGCGCAACAATATAATAAGATGATAAGCGCGCACACGTTCCACCTGATTGTAAGTGGATGCTGTGGCCCATAAACATCTACATCTATCCTCGATTAAGAATCAAAATGCAGATGCGTTGCCACATCTGAGGACTAAGATGGAATGCCTCGTTTCCAACAAAAAGGGTATCCGGTTCTCTACAGTCACCATACGAAACATAGCAGTATTAAGCTGCTATTTTACACTGGTATTCTGTAAAAGCGTGTTCATTCCCAGGTCGAGCATAGTACAGTCATAATATAGCTGCAGCATGGTTCTACGACGTAAAGAACTTCATTCGGCACTTGTCGGTTACTCTGGTTCTACTGCGGATATCATCATTACGAATTATAAAACTTCGAGCTTAGTTTAATTTCCTCATTCAACCAGAAGTGAAGGACTGCATCTCTGATTCATAAGTCATCAATGGCAACGCGCACTGGTTGTACAATCTTGTTTTCATGTTTTGAGGAATACGTGACGAGGTGTATCTGAATCTTTCTGAACGTTGCCCAACCGAGTTGGATCCGTCGATGATTGTAATCAATTACAGCCCTGCAGAACACAGCCACTCTTGGCATGCTAGTTAGAAACCGCAGTTTTTTGCTTCTGCCCATCTCCTGTTTCAGATTCCCTCTGTCGCCTCTTACGACACCCACGGGACGACATGGGGTAGTGGATCTTTGTACACAGCAACCACGCGGATGATTTTTATTATAAAACAAAATAAGACACGTGGCATTGTTTTTTAGGGAAATCGACACAGCAATGCTTCGTAGACTAGAGAAGAGGATCTATATACCACTGCCAGATTTGAAAGCGCGCGCGCAACTATTCGAAACCTACTTGAACGTCCGTACTATAGAATTATATCCGAAGGTCGATTTCGAACTATTAGCGGCTAAAACCGAAGGGTACTCCGGCAGTGACGTGAAACTGGCGTGTAAAGAAGCGCTGATGATGAACGTGAGGAAGATGCTGCCCAACATGTTGAACAGGAGTAAGTACCGTATGATTTATGATCATTTCCTTATGGCCTTGTGGTTTGGTAACTTACTAAAAACACTTACACTGGTACGGTTGGAATTTCATCCCTGGGATGGGGGGGGGGCGGTTAAAGTAATGTTTCAGCCTGTATATATGCCACACCTGGGCACGGTCCGCCACGTGGCTCCAATTAACAATTTCATCGGTGCCGGCGTGCATTGAACACGTGTTTCTCGCGAAATGTACATCGAGTGCTTAGTAAATTAATTATCCCGGCCGGAGTAACCAATAAAATGATAATTAATTAATTATAATTCAGCGAGAAGGGCTAAAATGGCGTGTTGATTTAAATAATCAACTGCTTGTTCCGAGTTATTAAAAAGATGATTACACGTAAATCAATGGACTGTAGAGTACGGTGCTAATTTATTATTTAGCCCTAAATTCGGGCTACAGAAAGGACGTGAAGGAATATGCATGTGCACTCATCTGGACTTCTGCTAATCTGCCTCGGTTAAGCAAAGGCTGCAGCCACGATGATTGGACCTTGCCCTTGGCCTTCTTTACACATAATCGTGAAATATAGCGTTATAGTAAATGTATATACACTTTAGGACGAGTTTGTACAGTTTAATATCTAAATTACACAAAGGTAGGAGCGATAGCGTGAGATATAAACGATGCAGTTGGTTTCGTGTCTTCTGAACTTGTGAGAACCCCATTAACACAGAGTAGGTACACACGCAGATATAAAAGGCGGTAGATAGGAAACCCAGAAATGAGCTTTGCAGTACTCTTATTGGATAATAATTAAGAATTTCATAAGCGTTAGGCGGTAGTGCAAAGTAGCGCGAACACGGACCTTTTACCTGAGACCCTTTTTACTCGTAATGATGCATTCCATTTTAGTCCTCAGGGGTGGCAACGCATCTGTATTTTGAGTCACATACTATGAGCGCCATCTAGCGGCAGATAGCTGAAGACTTTCATTCTGTAAATTTCAATTTAAAACTTAGAGTTCAATTAAAATTAAATTGAATCAATTGTGTCCGTTAAGGGGAAATGCGGTCCGAGATAGTTTTGAAAATTAGGTATTTGAAGAAACTATCACTGTCACTCTGCAAGCGCTCGGCGTCCGACAAGAACAACTGCAGATCCGACTGAATAGCCTAACCATAATTCTATGGTCTAGTCTAAGTAAAAAGTCATAACTCCAGCTTTAGCTCTTTACCATTTCCTCCTCTAATATTGGACCAATTTAAAGGATATTTCATAAAATGAATAAAAAGGATATACACTGCGTCCCAATGTTTTTCTTTTTTCAGTATTAGTTATCAAATTTGAACACTAGGCCTCTGTTGGCAGCGGTCTAAATAGGCAAATTTGAGCTTTTTGTAAGGGTTCTAGTGCTTACAAAGATAATGTATCATCAATTTTTTATAATATAATTTAAAATTAAAAATTTTGTACAGCCGACTTCAATATAAGTTATTAAGAATAACTCAAAAACTATTGGTCTGACCTTGATCAAATTCATATGGGACTACACGAGAAGTACCAGCTTTCAAATAAAAAAAGAATTATCGAAATCGGTTCACCCAGAAAAAAGTTATGAGGTAACATACATAAAAAAAACAAAAACGTACAGTCGAATTGAGTACCATCTCCTTTTTGGAAGTCGGCAGAAAATTAAAAATTTTGTGCAACCGACTTCAATATAAATTATTAAGAATAACTCAAAAAGTATTGGTCAGACCTTGATCAGATTTATATGGGACCACGTGAGGAGCACCAGCTTTCAAATAAAAAAAGAATCATCGAAATTGGTTCACGCAGAAAAAAGTTATGAGGGTTACCTCACATTACACATAAAAGAACATACAGTCGAATTGAGTACCTGCTCCTTTTTGAAGTCGGTAGAAAAGGTAAACACAGGGACATAATAAAGAAGAGGTTGCTATTTATTTTATTGCAAAAAATCATTACTATAAGGTCATAAACCAGAAAGAAAACAGGCGAGAGCGTTTGTATGAAGAAAAGACAAATCGGATTTCCTCTTAAGTGACTGGTCATCAGAATCACTATTACAGCTTTTGACAAGTCCACTGGCGAACATAGGTCTTCATTAAGGAATGCTACAAAGCCACCTGGATACATCGACTCCGTGCATCACTCACTTACAGGTAGTCAGTCCATCTAGTGAGGGGGCGCCCTCCTCTTCGCTTACCGGTACCAGGCTGTCACTCAAGAACGTTTCTTTCCTATCTGTTGTTGGTTTTTTGAGCCACTTCTAATTCTAATTCGTTGAACTATATCGCTTACTCTGTATCTACTGCCGTTATCGTCATTACGAAGTCTATCACGCAGATAAACTCGGAGCACGGCCCTGTCCATAGCAGAGCAGAGCGATTTTAATATTCCTCATATACCCACTTTCAAATAATTATCATCTAAAACCAATTGTTTTAGGTCAGTCCGGCCGCAAAGATCGTTTGGACTTGGCAGATATAATGGCAGCTATAGAGAGGACCAAGCCCGTGTCTAAAAACCTGGCCAAGAAGCACGTCGACTGGCAGGAGGAAATGGGATGCTCTTGAGTTGTATCTTGCGTACTGCAATGCTGCAAAAGTACATGAATCGTACAATACATGTTATTGTAGTTTTATAATAATAGTATTTTATTAAAATTTATTTTATTAAGTAACTGTTTACAATGTTTTCGTTTAAAAACTATTGCAAATAACTAACTTTTTTTATTTGTAAAACAATAGTAAAAAATTTAATAATAATATAACCTATATATAGTTTTTTATTTATAGCATATTCTTCACTATCCGTGTTTTTTTTACAAGATAATGGTGAAAAACGAGTACACAGTCCACCTGATGGTAAGCTGCTGTGGCCCATAGACATCTACATCTATCTTGGATTACGAATCAAAATGCAGATGCGTCGTCACCCGTGAGGATCAAGATGGAATGCCTCGTTTCCAGTAAAAAGGCTCTCCAGTTCTCTACACTCACTATACGAAACACAGCACCATTAATCTGCTATTTTATGCTGGTATTCTGTGAGAACGTGGTCCTTCCGCGGTCGAGCCGACCCATTCGTACTACAACTATACTAATAATAGCTGCAGCATGGCACTACCACGTATAGAACCAGCAACTTATTCGATAACTGTGTTGACGTCGAAATAATGGTCATTTTGAAGTACATTGCGTCATATCCTTTATAGAAATATTATAAGCACCAATCCCACGTGTGATTACTAGATCTCGACAACAGCGTCATCTACCGGGTTCAATTGCGAATCTAAACCATCCAGGGACCCACTCGAAACACACACAAAAAATTTCATCCAAATCGGACCAGCCGTTTAGGGTTCAGCGACAAACACACTTACAGAAGAGTTACATATATACTACATATATGTACATAAAGATCGATCAACGCAATGTACTATCATTTCGATGTCAACAAAGTTAGCGCATGGCGTGTGTTATAAATTCAAAAAAGTCCATTAAATAAAACAAATAGTTTATTTTTTTCCTATCCATTTATTAGTTACTGAAATTAAAACGCACGTAGCTTTTTTCTATACAAAATATTTAAAAATATATTTTTCGAACATACCTACACACAATTCAAGTTTTGTACATACATTTATTTTATATTTGTAATTAAAAACGTATTGAATAAAAAATCTGAACCATTAAAAAAAGTATCAACGAAATTTTATTTATTCTATGCCTTTAAATGAAAATTTCTTTTCCTGTTTCTATGGTTAATAGCAGGCGGCACGGATTATGGGCGCTAACCATTACAAGGCTTGCCAACTCTATAAAATTAATTAGCGGGATATTCTACTGCGATATGCGGGATGCGGGATGCGGGACTTGAGTATGTTGCGGGACAGCGGGACAGATACACAACACAATTCATTATTAAATGAAAAATTTGTGAACGGTTTTATGATGAATTTGTTTAAACAGGTAGAAACAAAATTTTTGACAAAGTTATTATGTGTCGTTTTATGCCGATTTTCACCATCTTTTTAAACACGTAGATAGTAAAAATAGAAGTTACAAATTTAGAAATATTTAACAAATGTTGAGTTACTATGGGTCCGATATTGACGTCTATTTTTAAATAAAAGCCACGGGTAAGATATATTAACATGAAAACAATATGAAACATTTTCAAAAATTAAATTAAATTTATTATGATAACATTATTATTGATCGAAACTCCCACAGAAACACTTGTTGAGACTGCTCATGTTATGTCCTGCGATACGTCCTGGAAAATCCGGGACAGTTGGCAAAGCTGATTACAAGCGCCAACGAGTACAGTAGATGTTTATATAATAGATTCATAGTCTGTGTAAAGAATGGTACTTTTTTCAGTAGTCCGTAATGAGATACCACACAACTACGAAGTTCACAATTGCGTAATTTGTTAAAAAAAATTGTCAGCGCGAACTAGCCGCACCAAGGTATGCATAGCGCTTGAAATTCCTGTCGTCTCCTATTACCTTATCCTTAAGCTAACCTACCTTTACTTTGTTATTAAATAAATTAAAAAAAAATTATAATAATGCGGGATTTATAAAACGATGTAAGCTTAATTATTTTAGCAACTATTAATTTAAAAATCACTTACTGCACTTGGCCAAAATATTCGCTGATGTAACTGACTAGCTGAAATAACGGAGTCAAAACACAACATCAAATTTGAAATTATAATATTAGTATACTGTGGCCATGGCGAAGATCCACCAGCCAAAAGCCATCACAATGAGGGCTAATATTCTTACGATCACCAGATGTCGCTAGTTGGAACTGAGGTTTTTTTATAGGAGAGGGGGCAAACTAGCATGCGGCTCACCTAACCTAAGTGACTACCGCCGCCTATGAACAACTACAACACCAGGGGAATTGCAGATGCGTTTTGAACATATTTGTCACGCAGATGGTCACACAGTGTCGTCGTATTTGAAAAGTTGTGTTTTAATTAAGTTTTTGGTGTCTAGTATATTATGTCAAAAATAATACCTCAGTGCCTCAGTCCTGAATTCTTTAATCATTACAAATTTTAACTCTTTTTCTAAACTTTTCAATATTATTAGATTAGAAGATTAGATTAGAAATGCATAAACCAAAGAATAACATTAATTTGGTTTATGCATTTCTAATCTAATTAAAATAAAATAACAGTAAGATTTCAGAAAGAAACATTACTCTCTACACTTAATAAATTAGAAGTAAGTACATAATAAATTAGAAGTACGGCGAGAGTACTCTTGATACTTATGAAGGGAAATTACAGCGGGGCAAAGAACATAACCCGGGAGTTCTGCGGCACTTGAGACCAATAATGAGATGCTTGAGACTGTGTCAGATCGCTACGTGACGAGACGGAGGCGTTCTCCACTGTTCGCCGTGCCTTCAGCAGGAACTAATCTCTTACAAAAACGCCTCTAACTCGAGCTCGAGCTCTTCACGTGGTCAACCGTGTGCATATTAAAATTGACAAATTTAATTATCACTATAGTGAATTAGAAAAGATCATATTATATATTTTATGTTACTGATAGTTTTTTTTTTTCAAAAAATGATGTTAGTTCTTTTTTGTTTTCTACCGATTTCAAAAAGGAGGATGCACTCAATTCGACTGTATGTTTTTCTTTATTACCTCAACTTTTTTCTATGTGAACTGATTTCGATAATTCTTTTTTTTAAATTGAAAGCTGGTGTTTCTCATGTGGTCCCATATAAATTTGATCAAGGTCGGACCAATAGTTTTAGAGTTATCCTTAATAATTTATATTGAAGTCGGTTGTACAAAACTTTTAATTTTACCATTGGTTTTTGTTTATATTTTTTTATTAGTTTGATTAGCTATAAATATTTTAATATTATTAGTGTAAGATTTAGTTTATAATGGAAAAGAGGACACTGTCGCATTAGGTTCGACCTGTAAGGATAGATGTCTCAAGTAATAAATAAATAGAACTTTTCTAGCAAATTCATTTAGGGCTGAAAATTGTCTTGGCTTGAATCCCTAGCCACTGCGGGATTCAGGGTAATGAAATAGCAGATCATTTAGCTAGAGAAGCCACCGAAACTGGCTCCCTCCCTAAACAATGCCTCTATGCATATGATCTCCTATCAAAGGCTGGTTCCAGTCTTCTGTCTTCAGGGCAAAGCAATTGGCATCAGTCTAACCTTTTAAAATGTAAACACCATTCCAAAGTCTCAAATTAATATCCCATCAAAACCTTGTTTTTTTCAATATCGCAACTTTAGTAAAACAATCACCTCGCTGTTTGTCGCCTTCGCTTTGGACTTGCCTGTACTCCGGTACACTTGCCTAAACTAAGGATTAGGAATAGTCTGTGAATGTGGGCTAGACGAAGGATCCGTAAATTATCTGTTCTTTGAGTGTCCTAATCTTTGTCACTCTCTCTCCTGCCCAATTACGTCCCGCGTCCTGTAAATTTCCAGTATTTGTTGTCCCTAGTGTACTTAACACTGCTGTGTTTCGTATGGTGAGTGTAGAGAACCGGAGACCCATTTTACTGGACAAGAGGCATTCCATCTTAATCCTCACGGGTGACAACGAATCTGCATTTTGATTCCCAAACGAGGATAGATGTAGATGTCTATGGGCCACAGCAACCACTTACCATCAGGTGGACTGTGTGGTCGTTTGTCACCCTATCCTTTAAAAAAATTACTCCTTTTGTAAATATTTTGAGTGATTTTATTCGTACTAATAACCTTAAACTATAAAATTACTAATTAATTTTGGTGATGGTATTTAAAAATGTGACAATAATTATTTACTTGTCACTCCCATGACTGACTTGACACTGGCAGAATTCTATCAAGAGAAGCCATAATTTAAAAGAAGAAATTCCGCCGCTATAGAACCTGTCAAATATTTTAACCTCATACCAAAATGGCGCCGCCCTGGTGGCAGAAAAAGACCGCTTAACGATTACAGGGTTTGCGGTAGATGGCAACATAACCATTTTGTTTACAGACCTAAAATACCCAGACAGTCGACTGGAAGCAGCGCCAAAGGTGAGAGATATCTGGTATTGCGGTCACCAATCATGACATGCGTGACGATTAAGGCAAATGCCCTGTACAGTTGAAGAGGACCATGTTCACAGTGGATTTTAACGTGCTGATAAAGTAGGGGATACTTTGGGCCGTCTCGAAAGAGAAAGAAGACGAAGAAGAAAAAAGATGAAGAATGGAGATTGAAGGACATGCGAAAAAAATTTACGCGGTAAACTTACGTGGTAAAGCCATGCTACAACTATATTGTGGTTGTAACACGAATGGGTCTGCTTGTCCGGGGAAGGACCACGCTCTCATAGAATACCAGCGTAAAATAGCAGCTTGCGCTGCTGTGTTTCGTATGGTGAGTGTAGAGAACCGGAGACCCATTTTACTGGAAAAGAGGCATTCCATCTTAGTGCTCACGGGTGACAACGCATCTGCATTTTGATTCTTTATTGAGGATAGATGTAGATAAATTAGTCCGATAGATTGAGTTATATCGCAATCTATCGGAGACTATC